CCCTAGGAAGCGTGCAGCTTCTGTGGGGTTTGTCCACAGGGACAAGGCCGTTAGGGTTGTCGGGGTTTCCGGGCATGCGAAGAGATGTTTCGAGTCGTGTGGGGTCTCTCCGCATGCCGGACACTCATTCGGCACATCCTCATTCAGCCTACTCAAGTAGGAGTTCAACCTGCTGCAGTAGCCGGAGCGAAGTTGAGCGAGTGTTGTGCGTGTCTCCCGAGGCAGATGAAGCTCCGTCTCGTCTATGTCCGGGGGTGGTATGCCTAGAACGGCATTCACAGGTCTAGAGTCTACATAACTCGAGACTGAGTCCCTGTGAATGCCGTTTAGGGCCTGTCTGTAAGCTGTCGGGTCCAGAGGTTGCTTAATGAACCTCTGAACTTCGTCCGTCAGTTCATATAGATGCCTCCTGACGTGCCTAGTCGAGACCAAACAAGATTTATAGTTATTCTTTTGTGTTTCACGCTTATAAAAACATACAATATATAAAAAATTACAATAGTTTTTATTAGTAATATATAAACAGGGAATTTTTACAACCCATCGCACATGTGCAGAGGAATATTAGAACCTAGTTTACATAACGTCTGTTGGAATAGATTTTAATGACAACTCACACCAAATTGCTTAGATTTATGAGGAAAAGCGACTTAGCCATACCCAATTAACTGGCCTTGTGTGCCCAGGAAAATTCGAGCGTAAATTAATTAATCACCAAACCTACTTAATCAAATTAAGGGGTAATGATTAAAAGTTAGCTGTGTAATCAGATTAAACTTAATCATGATTAACTGTAATCGGATTGAGTTCCATCAAATTAAATAATTGATTAAAAAATCAATCGATTAGTGCCAACACAGTATGAAGGGAAATTAAAATTACCAATCCAACTCTGTTTGAAACACGAAGAATTTGATGTGACGTTATATGAATATTGACAGAGGCATCAGATTTATTTCTTTCACTTTTATTTGCTACGGGTTTTTCACATGATACAACTATTTATAAGGTACAAACGCTGAGAGCCAGCTTTAGGAATTTTGACGTTTGCTAGCATTTTGAAAATTTCTCTCGCCGTCATTTCATTTGTTCGTTTTTATTTTCACTCAAACCAAATAAATATATTTTGACGAAACAACAAAATTGTAATGTACATACATACATACATATATACATATGAATGTAAATAAATACATATATGTAAACAATTGTGTTCAATGAACTTCTATGCAATTTTCTATAATTACGTTGAACTAATGCTTTAACTATCCTTTGAAATAGATAAGTTAGTCACTTGCAATTGCGATTGGGATTCTTGGTTATTTCTTTTATAAACAAATAAGGCTGATTCTACATGGGTGTATAACATAATCCAGACAAGCAAAATCCAGAAATTCAAAATGCGGACAGTCAAAATACAGACAAATCAAAATCCAGACAAATCAAAATACAGACAAATCAAAATACAGACAAATCAAAATCCAGACAAGTCAAAATACAGACAACTCAAAATACAGACAAATAAAAACACAGACAAATCAAAATGCAGACAACAAATTAAAATAATATTAATTTTTTTAGAATGTTTCCTATTTAAAAAAGTGGCGGAAATTTTCAGTATATATTTAAATATTGTTTCTTTTTTTTTGTGAAAGAAAGCGCCGCAGTCGAAAATTTGGAATAAAAAATCGCGCGATTTTTTATTCCAAATTTTCAGTATTTCTTAAAATATAATTTAATATAAAAAAACACCGCAGGCGAAAATTTGGAATGAAAAATCGCGCGTCTTTCATGTTTAGTTTGGCAATACCATGGAAATATATTCAATCTAATATTAATCTAATAATATTCAACTAAAATTGAAACGGTGCTTAGTGGAGAAAAACAAGCTAAACGGCGACGCCTGGAAAACAGAACATTTAAAACAATTGTTATGGAAAGGGAAAACTATGCTTCCAAAGAATACTTAACCAATATAGCTAAGCATCTCAATTTAATATAAGTAGTTAATGATGGTTTGTAAATACTTACTAATTAAAATTTTTTAAATAAATTCCGGTACACTGAAATTGTTTTGATGAAGAAGGTTAGGGGTGGATTCGGGATTTTTTTAGAAAAGTATTCCCCAGTATTTTTCCCACAGTATTTTTGCGCAGATCTCTCTGCGAGCCTAACTACGACTTAACAGACACGATTTTGATTTACAAAAATTGTATACTGACATTTTTTCCCCTCATGTCTGTATTTTGATTTGTCAGTATTTTGATTTGTCTGTATTTTGATTTGTCGGTATTTTGATTTGTCTGGATTTTGATTTGCCGGTATTTTGATTTGTCTGTATTTTGATTTTTCTGCATTTTTGAATTTTGTCTTTATTTTGATATGTCTGGATTTTGAATTTCCGGATTATGAATTTAACCGATTCTACATACATATGCTAACATGCATAAATTTAAACATTTTTACCTTAAAGGCACTGCACTCTTGCGAAGAATGACCTTGTGCTTACATTGGATCAAGTGGTGTGGCAAAAAATGAGCCGAGCACACATACGGGCTCTTTGGCAAATTCGCTTCTATAACACCACAAACCTCGATCCATTTTCCGTATATACGATAATTGCGGGAACTTAAAAAACTTGTTAATGCTCTGTTTGCAGTGCAGCAACTCATTTTTTCTTTCGAAATTTTTTAGTTTTTCCAACTTCTGAATAAATAAATATTTCAAATCATAAATTTACATTTGTTTATTTTGAATTTCTTTGACATTAGAAGCATTTCGAGAGAGAAAACTCAAAATGCTAGCAAACGTCAAAAAAAAACCCAATGGTGGACGAATTGAGCGAGCGGTTTTACCCATGATACAAAAATACAAGGTAGTTCCATTGTCACTTTTTCGTCGCCATATTAACAACCTGACAATTAAGCAGATTGTGCCATTTCGTGCTACCATACCCAATATCTAAAATCCTTCAAATTTTCTTATTAATTTTTTGTTGATTTAAAAATATTTTGTTCTTACATGTACATTTTAATTGTGTGAAAGTTGACACCTCATCTCAGTATTCTAGGTAAATGTTTCCAGAGATATCTATGCGTCACAAGAATTTTAGTTTACATATTTGGTTTATACCGCTAACTCTTTTCAATGGCTACGAGATCGTTTTCATATACCCCCATTTTTCATAGGTTCTGGATTGATTGCAGTTACCTCTATTCCAAGTTCTACGGTGGCACGCCGCATTTTCCAATAAATCCATACATATATCCATACAAAGTTCCAGGACTCTATCACAAATACTTCCAGAGATACGCACTATGAAGAATTCGATTTGTGTGGGAGGTTCCACACGCCCTTTAGATATCGGTTTTGTTTTAGCCTATAGCCATTCTTGGAAAATTTGTGTACGAAATTTCAAAAAAATCGGTACAGCCGGTATGGGCATTGTGACTCCTCAAACAAAATGAACTAATGATTGCAAAAAATGAAATCAAACATCATAGTTGACCAAAAAAGGACTACACAAATCAGTTTGATTGAAAATTTATTTTTATCTATTTATTTTATACTTAAATTTAAGGTGTGTCAAAATTTCATGTGAAAACAATATGTGTTGCTAGAAAAATTTTACGGCCCATGGGTCCTAAAGTAAATTCCATTTGCTGTTAAATGGACAAAGACAATGAGTATTAAATAACACATCGACATGTGTAATTTCAGCGTCTGAATTACATCAGAATCATCGTATCCGATATAGAAAACTACATTGTGAAATAATGAGATGACATGAGGACACTAAAAAAATTTTAAAATATGTTCACTAAAATTGTACTAATATTAAAATAACGATTTGGCAAGTTGTCATCGAATTTAATGTAAAATTTAAACGTTTTTAAGATAAGATATTGATTATTTTTAAAAGGTATATATTAATACAACTATTTTCTTTATAATCCCAAATTTAGGATATAAAATCTCCCTCACCAAAAAACTTACAATTGGGTAACGCCGCTTCCAATTTTTCACAATTGAGCAATTGTCAAAAATCTGCTTTTTAATCAAAAAGTTGTTTATTGAAACTACCTTGTTTTTTGTATCATGGTTTTACCCAAGGCACATAAATACAGGTAGAAGCCAAAAGGACGTTGCTCTCATGAGAACCAAACCTTTAAACTTCAACTTGTTTTTCTTTTATTTCCTATATTTCGTTACGCTTTGAATGTCATATCGTTGTTTTTTTTTTGAATGTTCGTTAATAACAAATTTTAATTAACATTTGAATTTTTGTAGTGTTGTGCAGTTTATACTTAATGTATGTGCTAAAAATGCAACACCGAAGCGTTGTTTTTTATGTGGTGTTAAATATGAAGCAGATACCATTTAACGTGCCTCAATGTCCTTCGCGTAAAGAGCGTTGCGAAAGCAGCTGTGGGCCAGAGCCGCAGCGAAATGCCTTGCTGTGCGTTAAACATTTTAAAGCAGCAGATTTCATAAATGCACCGGGAGGTTCAGGAAAGGCACGTTTGATGCCAAGTGCTGTTCCTATGACCCTTATGCCGGAAAGTCCCTCCAACAACACTGCAACTCATAAATTAAAAACATAAAACAACATACAAATTAACAAATTTTAACTAAAGAAAAATAAATAAATAGAAACAAAACTTCAAATTTACTCAAAAACGTCAACCAGCGAAATGTAATTTTTTATTTTTCCTTACACACGCTCATTTTTATTTTTACTCTCCCGAAAACTTTGACTTTTGTAGGTTTGATGTCAATTTGGCTTCTACCTGTTTTTATTGTACCATGGTTTTACCTTTAAATATTTGTATCATGGGTTTTTCAATAGCTATCGCACGTTGTGAATGGCGTATTATACTAAAGTCAGCCCCCCATCCCCGACTTAAGCTTTGTTTTATTGTTACATATTTGCAGGTTGTAGTGAACTAGTTAGTATCTTAAATAGTTAGTATGGAATAAATCACGATTTTTTTTTTCAGAACAAAGTATGCCATTATCAAATTAGAAGACATGGTGGCGATGCATTTTTTTCCATCGATGATAAAGTGAAAATTTTGCACGGTCTTGAGTCTCTTGTCGAATTTTATCAAATGGCGGCAAATGGCTTGCCAACAAAACTTACAACGTTTGTTAAAAAAGAATTGCCCCCAAATGATGCTCGTCGCCATGGTAATACCAATCTGTTACATCGTGCAACAAAGGAGAATAATGCGACAATAGTTAGTGAGCTATTAAAATGTGGTTATCGCAATGTAGATGCTAAAAACAAGGATGGTCAAACAGCGTTACATTTGGCTGCCATTTATAGTGACTTGGATATACTTAAGCTCATTTTAGAAACCGACGTTAATGTAAATTGTATTGATGCATTTGGAAATATGCCACTTCATGTAAGCTTGTTGAATTGTGGCCTATTAAACATTATTAAAAATAATATTTTTAGTACGCATGCCGTTCGAAATCAAGTTTATTCATCCGCAGTTTAATAAATGCAAAGGCGAATGTACAAGGTCGTAATATTAAAAATGGCTATGTTCCTTTGCACGATGCTTCCAAAAATGGAAATCTAGAAGCAGTGAAGGAATTATTGGATGCACATGCACCTCTTTTACCTCGCACAACGTCTGGAGAATTTCCAATAGATTTAGCTCGAGAAGCAGGTCAGGATGAGGTTGTAAAGTTTTTAAGTGAGTACAAATTGCCGGCTGCAAAAACTAAAAAAAATCTGTGGTATCACGGAACATTAACGCGAGGGGAAGCTATCAAAACTTTGAATACTTACGCGGAAAGAATGCCAGCGTTGTTAAAAGAATTCGATTTCAATGATCATACAATTTGTGATAGGCACTCACATGAAAGCAAACCAATTGATAGTTCCGGATGTTTTTTAGTGCGATATTCAGACCGTTCTGGTTTTGTATTGACACTTCTTTTCCAAGGGCTGGTTAAGAATTTTAAAATCTCGCAATCGGTGAGTAAAAAGAATGTTCGTATATTTATGTATATGTAATAAAAAAACTCCTCTTAATTTTAAGTCAAACTATTTGTACATTGACGAAGGTCCATATTTGCCAACATTAGAGCATTTAGTTGAGCATTTTATGCATTTTAATGATGGTCTCCCGATCAACTTGAAGCATGCAGTTCCCCCAGAACCAAAGCCTCCACAACCGCTGCTGTCAACGCTTCCTCGAAATAAATGCAAAAATAAAGTATCAAACACATCAAATATGTTTAAAGAAAACGCTGAGGAGGAATTGATTGCCGGTGCTCCTAATCAAACAATTCCAAAACCATTGCCGAAGAAAAAACGTAAAGAAACTGCTAATTTGATGTTGAGCAATTTTTTAAAAATTAAAACAAAAACCTCCACGCGCTGTGATGAAAAAACGTCCTCGTATATGGAATCGCCCACCTCCCCACACTTGTTAGAAGAATTTCCTTGCAGAGGACTATCATTTGCTGCGAATTTTACTAGTGTCGGAAAAGATCCATTAAAAGCAACGTCTCCAGATTCTTTCGATACGTCTCAAAAATTGCCAAACGCAGAATTTATCCCAGCGCAAGATATGTACAACGTTCCCAAAAACAATTCGGCAGTAGTTGAGTTGGTCGCTGAAGTTGGACTAAAATTCCAAGGAACAAAATGTCATGAAGAGAGTGAAATTCCCGAGTTCTCTTCAAACTGGTAAATATAAAGTTAATTATATATATATATATATAGTCGATTCTACGTTATCTGAATGACTCAGATTTAGTTTTAGTTGCCAAAATTTTAAATACTTACGGTGTTTTTTACACGCATATACATCTATGTTTAACGTTTAAAAAATCAAGCATCGACAATTTCCATTTGAATACAAGTAATTTTGCTTTTATCGACAACTATTGATAAGCGGACATAAAGTTTGTCGCTTACAGCTCCATACAAATTTTAAGCGCAGATACGTATGCGTGTAATAAAACGCCTTTTATAACGAGTAATGAATTTGTCCAAGATCTAAAAGGGAAATATACAGTACGGTGGAGCGTAAGTTTTTTGTTTTTTTAAACGGATCTGTACTAGAACGTTGAATAATGAGGAAAGTACATGGTGGTGAAGGCAAATAATTTTTTAGAATCCCTAAAAATGATTGAAAATAAAATCTTATAATAACACAGGCCAACAAAAATGGGAAACAATTTTGTAACCTAAAATGTTAAAGCTGTTTCTGATAGACTTTCCGTAATCCGTAAGGAAAAAGTTTCCATCACGTCCAGCTTTTGAGAAAAACGTGGTCAAAGTATCAAAAAATCGCGTTTTTTGCAATATTTGAGAAGCTCTAGTAAACAAACAAAAGGTGATAGAACCTTACCTCACTGTAATTACCATTCGTGCACCTGGAATTAATGGTCACTTATAGTCATTTGTTGAATAGCAAAAACTGATTTTGGCGAAGTTTGAGTACCTACCGCAATTAAACAAAATGTGGTAGAATTTTCCACTTATGCTTAGATTAAAGCTTGAACTTTCAACTACAATCCCTGAAAATACCATCCCTGGACCTTGACCCTAAGATCACTTATAGTCCTTTATTGAATAGCAAAAACGGATTTTGGCACAAATTTCTTTCTGTCAATAGCAAAATACTCCAGTATTTTCTTATTGTTCAATAAATGACTATCAGTGCTCATCAAGGTGCACGAATGGTATTTTTAGGGATAGTAGTAGAGAGTTCTAGCTTTAATTTAAGCGGACGTGTAAGGTAATTTTAATACATGATTAGAGTGTGAAGTTCCGTTATCCAATATTATCAACTTGTACTTAGCACTATATTCGCTGCATTTTCTTTCTCATATTCCATCCACAATTAAAATATACAGTGACGAGCAAAACTGTAACATGGTTTAACACTTTGTTTCAGCCACCGCTATATTTCCAAGTTCTAACGTCTTTCCTCCTTTTGTTGTATATTCTTGTTGGTACATCCCTACTCCCTCTCTCATAATGATTTGTAGTCCATACAACACCAGTAAAAAACCCAGCAGACAAAAATGTAAATTAAGGCAGATGTTACAGTTTTGCACTCACTCTCAGTTTTGCATTTGACAGTTATCTTTTACTTAGTTGGAAGTCAGATGACTTCTCTGTATTGTAATTTATTGAAGAAGTGATCACCAGTAAATAACATAGTTAATCAGGAACCATAAATGTAAATAATAGATTTACTGCGGAAAGGCGGAACCGCACGAAAAGTGGCAAACAATTTTGTAATTCGCTACTTGAAAATGTTAAGACTTAGAAAAAATATAGCCTAAAGTGTTCCCAAGGACAAAGGAAGTCTGTTAAAAACTATTACGGTACGATATCTTGTGAACTTAGCAGCAAGTAGCGATGCAGCCACTATTACAGAAGCGCTTAAGGTATTAAACTTTATTGCAAATCAATAGACAGCGAGGCGAAGAATTGCCAAATTGAGGGCAAAGGCATCATAAAAGAAGAAAAATGCAAATTTGATCAAAATACATGTGCGAGTGTGGCAGGATTTTGCTGCATCGCACGAAAACCGGACCATTGCCTATTGGAATATGTTAGGCCTTTCAGAATGCAATAAAAAACATTTTTAAGTTTAAATCGAAGGTTATTTGGTCTGACAAGACTAAATTAATCTCTTTCAATCAGATGGCCGGGTATGGTATTGGATCAAAGACCCAAGTTAAGCCCATGCGCATCCTGTAAGGTAAACTGTGAATCACAGTGGTAGGTCAATAATAGTTTGGGGTTGTATTTAAAAAAATTTTGTTTGTCCGTTAGTACGCATTAGGCGTAAGGAACAATATCTGTTCATATTTCAACAAAATTTGCAAGATGTAGTCGAAAAAATCAGAGTTTCTGCTGAAAAAACATTCAAAACACACTGCACATGTTCCCAAAGCCAGGATACAAAAGCAAAAATTTGCTAATTTGAAATGACCTCCACAATCCGCGTACATGAATCTCGTCGAGAATTTGCGAAATCAACTAAAAGCACAGCTTAATAAGTATCAAAGTCCGTAAAATCGAGTACATGAGCTGTGAAAGCAAACTAAGGATATACCTCCAGAATTTTTACAAAGATACAAATAAGGTATGCCAAATCACATCCAGGAACTGAAACAAGCAAAAGAGTACTGAACATTGTGTTAGTAGTTCTTTTTTTTTGTGAAAATTGTTAAAAAGTTCGTAAAAATATATGAGTGCAAAACTGTAACATCTGCCTTAATTTACATTTTTGTCTGCTGGTTTTCTTATTGTTGTTGTATTGACTTCAAATCATTATGAGAGAGGGAGTAGGGATGTTTCAACAAGAATATACAGCAAAAGTATGAAAGTCGTTAGAACTTGGAAATATAGCGGTGGCTGAAACAAAAAGTGTTAAACCATGTTACAGTTTTGCTCGTCACTGTATAAGGTATTGAATAAAAGTAAATCGTTTCTTTTTAACATGCCGCACAGTGTTTCGACTATATGGAGGCAGGTAGAAAAAAGTCATGGAGACGGTTGGTAAAAAAAACCGGTTTGACTTAGAGAGGGAATAGTAAAAGTCACAAGTACCAAATTTTACATTATTTACTCACCCCCCTTCTTCACGAACGATACATTTCCAAAAAAATACGGGAATGGGCGCGATACCGACTAATCAGTTTAGTTGCATTTGGCGCTGAACCCATTACAGAAAGTGTTCCTTTTTCAACTGTAATTAATTATCTAAATGTTTCGGTCCGTCAGGTCTTGAAATTAGACTAATATTTTAAAGAATTTTATGTAGTTTTCGAATATATAATTTGATGTTTGCGCGCGACTTTGCAAATATATGTAATTTTTTGGTTTTCTTAATTTTTGATTTTTAGCTTCTTTTTGCATAATTTAGCGAAAAGAATTTTTCGGACAATGAAAAAATCCCACCAGATATTGGGAAAAAAGCGAGTATTGACACCTAAGTCATTTTATTGTATAACCTTTGTTTTCTGAGAGTGGAAAGCAGGAAACAAAAATTACCCAAAATTCCATCACATTTAATGACTGGGCCCACATTTTTTGTGAGTTTTGAACGTTATAGTAATCCAGTCTTCGCCATATTTTATATTTAGTTTTTCTAATAAAATAAAGACTACAAACTAAATTTCATCGAAATCGGATGAAATTTAATGTTTCCGCCCACAAGAGTAGAGGGCGTGGCAATTATTCCATCTTTACAAAATTTCATAATTCTCTATTTCTAAGTAAAACTAGAGCACATGTCAAGTTTAAGTGAAATCGGTGCAGATGTACTATTATTTCCACCTGCCTCCATATAGTCGAAACACTGTGTGCCGTGACAACACGTTTTTCGAATTATCGGACTACGATGTGATTCCGCAAAACGTAAAACAAATGATCTTCCGCTTCTTCCCCAAAAATCCACTCCAACCAACAACCCCAAATTTATATTAATATCCTCTGCTGATAGCAACATTTCCCTCTCACAACCGTTCGCCATTCAAAAATGCATCGGGGCCATATCGACTGAAATAGATTCGATTTCGCAGATAAGAGATGGTATTCTACTAATCTTAACACGCAATGCCCGTATCGCTGAAAAATTCTTGAAAGCCAAGTCTTTGACCAACCTGTGCCCAAAAAATGTTAGACTACATGAAAACTTTAACTATGTCAAAGCAGTAATATACGCGTCCTGAAATGAAAAACCAAACCATCTTGGGGATGGCATGCACCTGGAATGTCCGGACCCTTAATGGGGAAGGTGCCTCTGCCCGGCTGGTTGATGTCCTCGTAAGGACAAAAGCTGACATCACCGTCATCCAAGAAATGCCTTGGACGGGGCAAGGTAAGCAATGTCTGGGGCCTTGCGACGTCTACTACAGCTGCCATGTAAAGGAGCGCGAATTCCGAGTTGGATTTCTGGTGGGGAAAAATACAACTGAAAAAGACTTGCGTGTCAAATGGACTTTTCTCTCAAAGTTTACACTGCTGACAAATGTAAATAAGGATTAAAATTTTAAAAACGAATTAATACAACTAAAGTAAAATCTATGGAAAATTAACAATAAAATACTTTTTTTCGCAAAAGCTATAAAGGACCCTTTTATATCTCAAAAAAACCTGTGTAACAATTAATCATCGCCACGCTGTATACATAATAGCCGTTTCTGTAAAATTCTCTCAAATATTTCCTTTTTCTAAAATACACATTTACAATTAAGTAGAGCCTTGGCAGCTAATGCTCATAAATTTTATTAACTTGTTAATTTATTTAATATTGTTAATGAATAATAATAATAGATTGGCACTTGGCCGAGCTTCTCCTCCTATTTGTGGCGTGCGCCATGATGTTGTCACACAAAGAATTTTACGCCGACTCCGAACGGCGCACAGAGGGGTATTCGCCTAATTTAAGCCGCCGAAAGTCGAATTTTTCAAACGCATTTTTTCTTTTATAAGTGAACATAGGGTGAAGAGAGTAGATTCCGTTATTTTTTAGTCCCTACTTGTTTTCATTCGCTCGCATCGCGCTGTCAAAAATTAAATTGAATTGGATAATTGTAAAGGAGATAAATACCCTATAATCCATATACTTGAATACAAATATAGCATGAAATGGTACCGGCAGAGCTACAAGGAAAAATATCGTACTTTTGCTAATTTTACTGGATAAGAGATATAGGCTG